TTCTATTTCATAACTTCTGATGTGCTAAGAATGTGGTAATATTACTCACTTATTTTGTAGTTACTTTATTCTTTTACAATGATAATTATGATTTTGTACAGTCCTTTTTATTTTATAATTTTGAAGTAATCACATTATGACCGTTGGTACAAAGATTTCTTATATAATGTATTACCTTCCAAAGATATAAAAGAAGCTAACACATTGTTTAGTCTATTTATTCCAAATATTTTACAGAATTTTCATGTTTACAGAATTTTAGAAAGAACTCCCTGTTGCTTCAAAACTGCCCTGCAAAATCAGAGTTTTCAGTAACAGCTACTCCACTGGCAAAGAAAGAAAAATTCTTGCTAGTGAGTTGAGTTCCTTAAAGCCATCAAGCAACCGGGAACCCATATTCATTTTCTTTGCGGTCGTTGACAAGTTAGGTTTTCAGCAAAATTACCCTCTAATTTATTAATATAAATGGGACCTGAGTATAGATAAATATTACTATTTTGCTGTACCATTATCCAGGAAAAAGAGTGAAACGTGCGTTTTCCTTTTAGGCATACCTGTGAAACCTACGGAATCAACAGCTGGAACAAAATTTTCCTCGCTAGCCTCTCGCACAGTTGCTACCTTGGAGAGATTTCCTCAGACACCTCCTGTATTTGTTTCTATGGGGATTGAGCCAACTCCTGCCAAAATAACCTTGAAGACAGATGGAACTCCAAGGGGAACGAATATGTCAGCACAGTCCATTACAGACATTTTTTCACTGGAATCATCTAATGATGCCACCTACTCAACGTTCACTTTACCAAGTACAGTGGAGCCTTCTGACGTACTTCACAGCACAGCAAGCCCTTCTGTCCTTTCCAAACTCACCTCTTCAACAGATTTTCCAACTGCTCTTCAAGCATCTGTAGTCACATCCCATACTGTCAGTTCTACTGCATCTGTAGCTTTACCCATTATAGTAGCAACTCCAACAACACATGCTTATACCCCACTCCGTGCCAGCCCTGTTCCAACACGTTCTGCATTGCTAATGCCCACTTCCCTAGTGGTAGTACCATTTGCACTTGAATCATCCATGGCTCAGGTAGGAACTGCTCCCCCTACCACAAGTTTTAACAGGTTTAACCCCCAAACCATCTATTATTACTTCTGAACTGCCTACAGGAATCTGGAGTAGTAGGATTCCTTATGGAAATAATTCTAAGGAATTAGAAATATCCTGGGAAGGATCTTCTTTGTCTCCTTTACTGTCTGGCACAGCAGCTTTCACAGGATTCACATTTCTTCCAGGTTCACAGTTTACACTAAGTACCTCTATTTCTATATCTCTTTTGTCTGTAAGAACCAGTTCTAGCATTGGTCAACCTGCAGTTCATCCAGAATCTATTTCTGCACTGAATTCAACTGCTCCTCAAATACCAAGTACTTCTAGGTTTACTAGCTTTGAGACAAGTTGTCTTCTGTTAATCACACCTTCATATTTGGAAACAACAAAGGCTTCATCCAAAACTTATCTGGTATCATTAAATACTAATTCTTTAGCTAGTTTTTCTCCGAAGGCATTTTCGTCTTCAAAGTTGTGTCTCAAATCTCTGTAAACACTTCTTTAATGCACACAGTATCTATACCAGTATCTTTTCTAATACCAGTATCTTTTACCTCCCTGAAATCCAAATGTTTGGGAGGTGTCTCTGTTATCTCAAAGAATCTTTATAAAGAAGCTTACACTGTTTCAGTACCTCTTATAGTCAATCCAGAAATCTTTGCTGTGTCTACAGCCCCAAAATAAAAAATATGTGCAGTGCACATTGGGTCATTTTCAGTGTCATCCACTTCTAAAAAGTCAAAGAAATCCATTAGTTCTACAATCTTCCCTCTTGGGACATTATTATTACCTCTAAATGCTTCATTAATAACCACCTCAAAAATTACAGTATATCTGAACATTGTACATGCAGAAATGGAAACTGCCCTTGTGGCATGAAAAGCAGGCACTTTAATTTCTAAAGAACCTTCTCTTACAAGTCCATCGTCTTTACTTACAGTCTTATTATCACACCAATGTCATCTTCTGTAGCATCCCATACTACAAGAAGTTCTTCATTGTTTCCCTTACTTTGTAAGACATCTTCATTAAAATAAACTGTTAGCCAAATACGACTTTCACCTCTTGATATACAGAGAACCTCAAAAAGTCCAATTATAGGTTTTTCACCCTCTTCTGTAGATTTTTCCACATTTACTTCAAACAGCGGCCTCTCTATTAGCATTTCAGCAGCACTAAAAACATCCATTAAAATGCCCTATTTACTAATGCCCAAGACACCTGAAGTTATTTTAGAAAGCCAGCTGTGTTGGGCCTCTGTGTCTTCACATCCTCCTAAGACGACTCATCTCTCTACTGTTTCTCTAGGAAAGCAAGGTTCTTCAGCAAGTGCATCAGCAGAAGATGGAAAAAAATCAATCATATCAGCTGGAAGTATCACTCAGTCCACCACACCACTGACCATGAACATAACTATGAATGCCTCATCCTTAAAAACAGATCATATTTTTGCAGAAACAACACCTTCAGCCACTGTATTAGTTACTTCTGGCACTAGGCTTACAACAAAACCCACAGATTCGCCGGTTGCTGATCTGGCCCTAGTTCCTGCTACCACAGAAATACCTATGTATGTGTCACACAAATTTTTATTTACATCAGCACCATCTCAAGTTTCACAAAGCACTAAAGAAACTCTAAAAATGACAATCATGAAAACAGCTGGTACTGTAAGTCCATTTTCACAGATGAAGAGTATCTCGTCTACAGCTTCAGAATTTAAATATGCAACCTCAAATGAAAAAACTGCAGATAGCTTAGAAAGCATTCAAACTTCAATTGTGCAAAGGAATGTCACCAAGACAAAGTCGACCACTACTGAGAAATCTGCACCTTATTTAACAGCATTTGCAGCTGAGAGTTCACCTTTTTTAACCAAAAGCGACACAACTTCAGTAAAATCTTTCTCTGTCTCTGAAGTCCCAGATGTAACATCAGATTGGTTTAAAATCCTCACACAGAGAACTGTTAAACCATATTTTAATTTAACAGAGTCCACAGAGTTGCAAAATGGAACTGCAACAAATTTATCTCATTCTACTAGTGAAATGGCTCTGCCTTCCTCTTTAGAGCAAGCACAGACTTCTCTGGCAAGCACAGAAGCAATCACAGTTACAGCTGACCAAGCTTCCTTTGGCGCAGTGATGCTTACATCTTCTGAATGTGTGGTATGATGAGTTTTATTTGCTTCCATGTGTTAATATACATAGATATACATTTATATATTTCTTTCCAATTCATTCTTTGGTGCTATGCCTGATAGATCTGAGTATAATAAAATATCTTCTGATTTTGTTTTTATGTTTCTATTTTAAAGTAGTTATTCTTAGAGAATTATTCGATCCATTTTTTTAATTACTGTGATATATGCTGCAATTTGGATATATTGCTCTGGAAAAATTGGCAATTAAAGCTGTGTACTGAATCTAGATAGCATATAACAGATAACATATAACCAATAGTTAACATATTTTTAGGTACAGAAAGAGCCATAACCTGGTGAATTTGGGAGTTAATTGCTGGCATATTTATACATAATCACACGTAATCTCACCTAGTCTTTTTTTTTTTTTAAATATCTTTGTGATAAGGATTAACATGTTGTAAATGCATGATGGCTTTTCCTTAAAATGCTTTGAGTCCTTACTGAATATGACAGGCAGCCTCAATAAATAAAACACTTTTTAAGAGTGTTCCTCCAAAACAGGTGAATCAGGAAGGGTTTGTGTAGGTTGATGGGGCCACAAAGCAGTCACCTGTAACAACTACAAATAAGCAATTCTTTACAAAATAACTGATGCAAATATCAAGCTCTACAACATATTTAAGCTCGTTTAGTAAAGTCAGACAATCTGAAACTAATTTTTAAAACATTTTTGCCTCTCCTAAGCCTTCTGCACATGTTGGTCTGAAGGATTGACTGGGTGAATTATCTTTAGACTTCACTTAACACAGTTTATTTTAATGCCATCTTTCTTTATATATATAAAGTGCTACTTTATTCGGCTTGATGTTTTGATTATTTGGGGGTGTTTTTCTTCTTACTAGTAGCATGCAGAATATTGAATTAATATTCAGCAGAATATTAAGTTAACAGTTTTTCATGAGTTAACTGGGACCATGTCTAGAGCACAACGTTGCCTGTGATGAACCTAAAGGGTGTGGTTAAACATCCTATGCATCTTCTGGTATTCAAAAGCAAGAGCATATGTATGTGCACATGTATGCTAAACTTAAAGGTGCTTGGCAAAAGAGTATTTTAGTCCAGCTGGCATACCTGGTGACAAGCACATCAGGGGTGACACATTCTGCCTCACATTTGTCTCAAGGCAATGAGGTAGTAGGACTAGGACTTTGTAACTGCTCTGAATGCAAACACGAAGTTGTGGGGTTTTTGCTGTTTTGTTTTGTTTTTTCCCTCTCACTTGACAGCCTAGATACCTTGAACCTGTTGACAAATGTAGCCAGTACCTATGTGTTAATACGGGTTGGATGTTATACAACCTTTCAAAGAACTGCCGTAGAGATGCGCAGGAGCCGGACTGTGGATTTCGAGGAATGCCATTCCAAGTTAATACTGATAGTTGTTGCCCCGAATGGGAATGTCCCTGTAAGTATTTTTCAATTAGTAAACTGAATGTTTTCTACAGTGGGAAGATGAGGTTTAATACCAAAATTAATTTAAAGGAACTGTTCTGGTCTCATCAGCAAAACAGAATGAAATATAGTGAATGTTCTGATCTTTTTGAAATAACATGGTACTCATGAGTGCCAAAATATATTATTCTGAATGAATGTATCTATGAAATGAAATCTATCATAATTTCCCACTGAAACTTTTCAGAATTTCTATCAATAGAAAATGAAGACATATCCAAATTTTGTTTACACTGGAGAAGAAAATTAAATATTGGACTTTTCAAAAGACATAACCCCCAGATTTCAGTTATATCTGGTGCTTTTACTTATATTTTGAAACTGTAGAGATTGGGAACAGGCTGTCTGCTAAGAGAACAAAAAAGCCATAGAAAAGTCATATTAAAAATTCTGCAGCATGGCTGACACCTACATCACATTTCTTACTACTTGCATCGAGACAGAATAGATGAATTTCTTAGCATCTCAGGCAAGATATATATTATAATGCATATATTGCATCTGAAAGTGTATAGATTTATTGACCTTGTCTGTAAAATGTTGACTTAAGTGAAAAATTTCAGCAGATCAAACTTTCTCCCCTACACATAGTGGTTGGCTAAGACATTGTCACTGAACAACACAAGACACTTGTTTCTCCTTAAGCTCACTGTTGTGTCAGCAGGGGAATTCCAACAAGCAGTTGTAGGATTTTATTTATATAGAAGTATCTTATCCAAAAGCAATATTGCTAAATGGGTTTTGTTTGTTTATTTGTTTTTAGAAATGTCCAGTATCCTGTTTTGTGATAACTTCATTAAATGACAGTTCTTTTTTAGGTCAATGTTCTGTACTGTCTGAACTGAGTGTTATTACATTTGATGGCAACAACATAGCCCTCTGTAATGTGGCTTCCTACATTTTAGTCAAGCTACCAGGAGAAATTATTATCGCTCATATTGAAAAATGTCCAGCTAATCAAGTAAGATATTTGCATACTGTCTCAATAATCATAAAAGTTTCTTTAATTTTTGTGATATAGATGTGAATGAAAGTTTGCCAGAGTGTAGCATGTAAGCAAGTTTGTACTCACAGAAAAATGGCAAGCTATTTAATTTTCAAAGAGTGTGTTTCATCAAAATTTCATCTCAGGTTAAATGCGTTAAATGCTATTTATCATACATTACAAAGAAATTTAATTGCAGCTTCTTCTGTAATTGTTAGGTATTGGATTCAGTTTGATCTGTGGCTAGGGCAACAGCAAACAGCTCCATTAGAATTAACAATTATTAAGCCTCCACCAATAATACTCTAACATCCCTTATAAATTCTGTGCCTGCATGTCTTCGTCAGGTCTCCTCACTCACAAATCATCTTGAGGCCCCAAATACTATACTGCATTGTCAAAATACTAAAATATTTTCAATAGTGACAGTATTTTGAAATGAGTTTGGGATTAGTGTGAAGACTTGTTCTATCTCTGCATTGCCAACAAGAGAGGGTCCAGATAATTTTTAGACTGACAATTTAGTTGAGATCAGTCTCATGCTTCGAGTCTCTAGGTTCAGCTCCTTTCCTTTGTCTGTATTATTATTTTATTGAGCCCTTGTATTTCCATCTTTGGTTTGTGGTAAAACAAGTTCCTCATCAGAAACCTCGCAAGGTTTCTTGCCTTCCCGTCCTTCTTTGTTGTCTTATCCAGTCCCGCTAATACATTGTAGGCAACTGTACATTTCAGCATTTAAGTCTTCAGTACTATGATGTTAGCAAGGTTTTTTTTTTTTTTAACTGCTGTCTTTTTGTCATTTCTTGGTAGCAGCCTAAGGGTGTAATTGCAGCTGACATAGGCAGATGACTTTTAGAAATTGTGTTTGTGGTGCTTTAGTTTTTTGAGTGGGATTTTGGGTGTTTGCAGAATCTCATGATGCTGGTTGCAAGTTGCTGTCAATGTTAAAGCTGATTAGTCAGTGTTAAAGCATGTGATAGCTTCTGTAAGTCATTGTGTTTTCTTTCTGTTTGATCTACCTAAAGCCTCTTAGTTTAAATCCTTAGTATGTAAATCAAGTTTCCAAAAATAGTTCATAAAACTGTATACCACATTAATTGGAAAATGTGTATTTAATTTTATTATTTAAAATGAACATATTCAATTAGTTTAGCTAACAAGCTGATTGTAGAAGAACTTTCAAAGATAAAAATAACAGTCAACTTATCCTAGCCAAATAAGTATACTACTGAGTGTCGTTGCACTTCTGATCTACTTTTTAATGTCTTTCAGAGCGCAAATTCAATAAGAAAGCTAGTAAGTAAATCTTTTTATACTAATTATAGAATACATTAATACATAATTGAATACATAATTGAAAAACAAAAGCAAAACAAACAAAAAGCAAACAAAAACACCCTATAGCACTCTTCAGTGCTAATTAAAAATAATAATAGCCAATTTTGTTTGTCGCTATTCTTTCAAGGTTCCCCCTGCAAGCACTTCTGGACTCTGTTTTAAGAAATTAAATGTAACAACACCTACAAATAAATTACTTATCAACCGTTTAGCAAGAAGGGTAAGTCTATACCACCAGTCTATAGCATGTGTATATTTAAAAGATAGCTGGAGAACTATTCTGTGGTAAAATGCGTTAGGTGAGATTTATAATGAATGCAGTATAGGAATAAGATTATTTTTGCAGTCCAGGTTCCCAGTTATTCCCAGTCCATATCCCAGTATGATATACTAGAAGAAGTTCTGAATACACGCGTCATTTATATGCCATTTATGCAATATGATGTGTCAAAGTTTTCTGAGATTTTAAAGAAGCTGAAAAAGGCATTTATGTTTGAGACTGTGTTTCCAAATAGTCCAGATAGAAGAGATATGTGCTGAGGTGCCATAGGAAGTGGTAGCTGTCAGGAAACTCCATGATTTAAGCACAATGACTACTGTTATTGCATGTAGCAGGGGCCATAAAGTACAAACTCTTTTTGTTATAAGATGTAAAGAAATGTAGAATACATATTTGCAATGCTGTTTTTGTCTCTAAAATATATTTGGTTCGTTTTAGGTAGTAGTGGATTCTGTAATTCAGTCATTACCATTTTCAAAACAAGGACTGAGCATTCAGGACACTGGTGCAATGTATGTCATCAACACCCCGGCTGGTATTAGCATCAAGTGGGCTCATGTTACAGGCATCATAGATATCCAGTATGGATTGCATTCTAACACATCAGTGAAGACAGAAGGACTTTGTGGTGAGACTATGATGCCAATTAATTTTTATTCATATTTAATCATTTTTCATTTAAAAGTTGCACATCCCTATTGTATATAGGATCTGTTGTCTTTGTAGTTCTCTATGAGATTCCCATTAGCCACGCTTACAATCCTATTTGGAGTGGGCTTGTCAAATTCTGCTGATTACCATTAATTAATGCTAAAAATAAATGTAGATATATACTCTTTTCTGCTTGCATTTCAAAATATTTTAGTCGAGTAGTCCAGCAAAGAAAAAAGCCAAATGGAGAAGGGGCTGCTGAAGAAGTTTGGGTAGTGTCCATGTATTTCAATGATTCTTAGAGAAAGGAGTGACTGTGGGATGTTGGCAATGATTACAAATACAAATAAAAGGTGCATCTATGGGGTTTGAGTTTTCCCAGAATGCTGAATCAAAACTCAGACCTATTAAGATTAAAGCTAGGATCCAAAAGTGTGCTACAGGTGTCTCACAACTCAATTAAGATGATAATAAATCGATGTTTCAAGCTTCCCTAATAACCTCTTTGTAATGCTGCCAGTGTGAATTTTCTTAAAAAATGTTAGTGGGTATTTTAGGGTAATTTTAATTCTGTCATAAATTGCATCTGCCCCATATTTAACTGATTCTGGGGTTCTGCAGTGTAGCCCCACAAATAACCAGCACAGCTGGTGGAGTGGCGCTGAGACAGCAACAACAAGCAAACGTGTCAAAAGCAGTAGAAAGTAGTGCTACTATTAAATGCTTTTTATCATGAAATCACAATATCCTACGAATTTCTCTGTTCTATTATTCTCTTGTCTAGATTTCACTATTTAATTTTGACATTTTATTACTGACTTCTGCTGTGTTTTTATAGGAGGTAAACATTTTTGTTAATGCGTTTATGAATTCACACAGTAATGAATTCAGGTGCCTAGTGGCACCTGATGCCAGGTGGCATCAGGATGCCAGGCATTTTGTAGAAAGGAATTGAAATGCTTCTGTAGAAAGGAATTGAATAAGAAAAAGGCTGTCAATAAGGAAAACAATCTGACCTTCAAAAGATGCCTTTGGCAACTTCTTGTAGTTAGAATATTTAACCATGTTCCAATAACGTGTTGGACCATCAGCACATGGTGCCCAGGATGTGCAGCTAATTTTAATGTCGTCTGCATTTCCTTCTGGGAAGTTATTGCCGTCCAGTATAAAGTTAGCAGGAACTGTACCATGTAGGTGTATTTGCCACACTCAGTGGCCTATTTTCTTAGCAAATTTTCTTAAAAGGTGATCAACTATGGGAAAAGTATTATTGCTTAGAGTATAGGATTGGCATATTTTGCTGTCATTGAGCTGACAGTTAAAAATGTGTGTAGAAAGTCTAGACACGGAGCTGCATTCAGATGAGAATTCAGAAGACTAAGTCTCACAAGTAAATTTGATGCAGTGTTATTCTTGCCTTATCAAGGACCCTTCTCTCCCAAAGGAAGTAATTGTTTGTTCTTTGAATGTGATGCTGTCTGTTCAGGGGTGTGCAATGGAGATCCGAATGATGATTTGAAATTACAAAACAGGACCATAATTACAAATATGGAGGAAATTGAAGTGTTCATTAAGAGTTGGGAAATTGAGAAATCAGTTGATGCAACAACCAGGAGGCCAGTAAGAGACTGCACCGAAGATAACTGCACATACTGTATGGAACTGTTAAATAGAAGCATTTTCTTTCCTTGTCACAAAAAAGTGAGTATAAAGACCAGAGGAGTGCCAGGTGAAAATTAAATAAAAGATATATAGTTAAGAAAAGAAAGTGATGCATTTTTTAGCATTTTGCTTATTTTCATGAGTTAACAACTGAATGGGTGGATATAATCCTTTGTCATGTTGCCTATGGTAACCAATAATTCTTCACGTGATGCTATGTGCAAAGTACACATATCTTAAAGAATCACTGTGCCAGCATGCCATTTCTGAGAGCATTGGGTAGGTCAAGCTCAAAGGAGAGCATTCTTGCAACACAATATGTGTTTCCAAAGAGTTATGTTTAATAATTGCTTGAGTGAGGTCAAGCACAAATGCTTCCGCTGCACACCACAATACCGCAAAGCAATCTTAAATAGACTGCTCAAAAACTAACCAAATGAGACTAATGAAATTTTCAGTTAAACAGATTTTACATAAACACTCTGATGTTGGCAATTTATTACATTTCTAAAGGAAATCAGCTATTTTTGGAAACTTTTTGTAATGGGGATAGAGTTCAGACTTACGAACTACCACTAGAGGTAGCTAGTGCAGCACAGAGACTTTCAGAAGAAGGAAAAATGATGAAGCCTAAAATCTCTGGCGACCCACTTACTTTTCCTCCTTAATCCAAAATAAAAAGGATTAATTACAGAAGTGGCATTTTCTTTCTTAGAGATGGAAATGTCTAGATTCCTGGTTCAATTTTTATTATTCTGTCTTTACCCCCTTGGTTTGCTTTGCCTTTCTCTGCATATTTCATCAGAGACAAATGCTGTTTTTATTATATTTTATTGTTGCAGGCATTATTACAGTTACTACAGGCAGCTGAGCCCCTCTCTTCAAACTCTTATATCTTCCCTCGTTTTGCCGAGTGAGAAAAAAAAAATGAGAGAATTCTTTTTAAAAAAGGAGTTAGAAAAAGAGGAAAAGGTTTGATAGATATCTCCCACAGAAAATGGGAAGCAGCAGTGATTGACTGAAAATTTGGAATCAAGAAGGGAGAACAGCATCAGCAGCATTATACTTTTCATAGCTGCTTTAATGTTTCTGTTTAAAATAACTCAAAGTGAGTCTGAATAGTCAGAATTCTTGCTTCATATATGTTACAGGAGAACTCGCATAGCCTCACATGCAATGTAGATTGTGCCTTTTCCCGGTTTATAGGAAAATCTGACATAGCATCAAAATTTGCTTACACTTAAATGCATTTAAATACACTTGCACTACACTTACACTTAAATACACTTGCTTACACTAAATACACTTAAAGATTTGCTGAAAACATGAGGAGAACAAGGCTGTTGCACAACAGAGGACAGGCAGAATGGAGCCAATACTTGCTTTCTAACTGTTTTTAGTAAGTTTCTATGAAGAAAGACAACAGCAATGTTTAAGATTGTAAACTTTAAGTTGGCAGAACTGCAAGTGTTATTGCCAGTAGCACAGCAATCTCATTAGGATGGTGTTTCGTGCCTACTAGTGAATATAAAATTCTGAATAAATGATAATTCTTTTCCTTTGGAGATTACCTGTGGTTTCTTTTTTTCCCTTCAGCTCTGTTATTTCTGGTAACTAATGTTTAATTTTTTTAATAGAAAGGTCTTCAGCTTGTTAATTCTCCATTACATTGTGTTCCTAGGTTTCGCCACAGGAATTTTGTGAGAAGATGTGGATCAACAGTACTTATTTTTGGAATTATGAGTGCGATGCACTTTCTGCATATGTGTCTTTGTGCAACAAGCATAATATCTGCATTAAATGGAGGACGCCTGATTACTGCTGTAAGCTGATAGCGATGTTTAATATCCTACTGCAGCTATGTGCTGCTGCAGTGTTTACTAACGAGTAAAATAAGTAGTTCTTTCTATAATTATTAGAGGTATGTCACAACATTGGTCAGTCAGGGTACAAGTTTTTAAAGTGTATTGCTTTAGTTGGAGTGTAGTGGATTGATTTTAATCTTCATTTAATTAATTGCTTACCTAAAGGGTATTGTTAAAAATATAAATGTATGCTTTTCCTGGTAGACACATTTGTTCTTATTTATCCAATTAAAAGATGAAAGAATGAAGGTACCACCTAATTTCTCTTTATGACTTGCAGCATTGAGCTGTCCGGATGGCAAGGAATACCAGCCTTGTGTACAACCCTGTGAAGCCAAGACGTGCTTGAATAAGTGGTTTTATGAAGATTCTCCCTGTTCCTATTTAAGAGAAGACTGTGTCTGTGAAAATGGGACTATCCTGCATAGAACAGACTCTGATCTCTGTATACCAGAAGAAAAATGTAGTAAGTTCTGTGTCAGTCCTCAGAGGATGTGAATTTGGAAGTTACCTTCTACAGAGTCTAGCTTTTATGTCAAGCTGTACCAGTTTGTGCTTTCATTTTACTTGAATCCAAGTGATGCAGTTGCTTTGGGAAAATTGATAGCCATTCTGCAGTTCTGAGACTTACTGTCTTTGCAGGGTACTCAGAAAGGAACAAGAGGGATAAGTTCTTACCAGTGCACTTGAATATGTTTTAACCCATAGCAACGCCTTTTCATTATTTTTTTTAAGTCTTTTCTTGGATTCTTTGATCATGATGTCCCAAAGTTCCCTTTTCTGTTTGGTTATTGCAATAGTTTTCTCAGCCTTTCTCCAGTAAACCGTAAGTTCTTGATTATAAATCTCTATATGGAGGCAAGGAAATGCTTCCTGATCACTCAGAAGCTAAAGCTATCAAACAAGATGCCTGCTTATATGCTAATGTTGACTGCCCCTCTTAATTATACTTTTTATCTGATGATTTTGTTTCTATATGTAGCACAAGGTGTGCAATTTGCAATTTGTAAGTCTCTGTAGCTTGGGTCCTGGCTACAGAGCTGTCTACTTGCAGAATTGCTGTCGTGAGAGATCAAACTAACAGAAAGTGGAGGAGAAAGACATTGAGAATGAATGTCCAAAACTAGTTTCAGAAGGATATTGAAGTTTATCAGGCTTAACTGTCATAGAAAATGAAAACTTTCATTCCACAGAGAACTGGGAGAGTGAGTGTGAGAATATAAAATTAAGATAACAGAATAGTTAACTCTAAGCATCCTTATAAAAATGGAGGATGCTTTATCTGAATTAGCTGCTATACTTCAAATCAGAGCTGAAACACTTTTCAAGAGGGTTGGCCAGAATGTTACAACATTTTGCCACTCTCTTTGCAGAGATTATTGAGGCTTTGGTGATTCCAAGTTGAAAAAAGAGCAAAAGTTTGCATATTTACCTTGAGTGAAGTAGAATTATATGTTTGCAATAGGTGTCTGCAACCATGTCTCTCTAATAAATTGAGATCGTTACCTCCAAACACTACACAAAATAACACAGTGACTGTGAGGATACTTTTGTGGCCAGTGTGCTTAAGGTGTGGATTAGACTGGGGTAGAGGGACACCTCTGAATGTTAGGATTTGAACTCATCTGCTCTTCCATTTGTAACTTGCATTTACTACACTTAATACTGTGTTCATTCTGCCAAACTTTTGACTTCTGTTAACAGACAAATCTATGTAAAACGTTTAACTTGGATTTTAAAATTGTTTTACTTAGAATTATAGAATCATAGAATCATAGAATGCTCAAGGTTGGAAGGGGCCTCTAGAGGTCATCTAGTCCAACCCTCCTGCACACACAGGGTCACCTAGAGCACGTGGCACAGGACTGCGTCCAAGCGGGTTTGAAGATCTCCGGAGAAGGAGACTCCACAACCTCTCCGGGCAGCCTGTTCCAGTGCTCGGTCACCCTCACTGTCAAGAAATTTTTCCTTAAGTTCCTGTGGAGCTTCTGATGCTTCAGTTTTTGGCCGTTTCCTCTAGTTCTGTCAGTGGCCACCAGTGAAAAGAGGCCAGCACCATCCTCCTCACCATCCTACTTACTTACTTACTTGAGGAACTATAACTAAGAAGGAAGCGTTTGATCCCAGCACCTTTGGATCTCAGACTCCTAACATCTAGAGATGAAGAAGAAGTTGGTGTAGAAAACCGATACACATATTTGGAGAATGGCAGATACTCTGCACCAGCTGGGGTTAATAGAATATTTCCTTGAAACATTTTTTTTTCCATTAACTCAAATTCAGACTTGTTTTAAGAAATAAAGCTAATCTGTGTAGTAATCTACTTCTTAATGTATTATGCAGTAAAGCTATCCAAATGACAGACTAATTTATACTTGACTGTAGAAAATTTTGTATTTTCTTGTTTGAGGGGTGTGATATTTTTCCTTCAGCATGTACAGATAACAAAGGACAACCTCGCTCTGCTGGGGAGATTTGGAATGAGTCCACAAAAGGCTGCTGCATGTACAAATGCCTAGAAAATGGAAGTGTTATTGCAGTAGAACCCGAATGTGATGAGGATCCACCACCAGTTTGTGAAAGAGAAGGGGAAGTTATTGTCCATGTCCTTGAAGAGAGGGCTTGCTGCCCAAAGAAAGTTTGTGGTATGTACACAACCACACAAATCTTTATTAAATGAAGTATAAAATAAGGACGTGACATTCAGTGCATGCTAACTTGCAGACAGGGCGCAAGCTAGCATTTTTTTTGGAAGTGATGTTTAGGTACTTGTGGTTGGTTGGCAGTATTTCAAAAAAGCAGGCTTTTTTGGGGGGTTGAATTTTGTTGTTTGTTTGTTTGTTTTATTTGTCAGTTTTGATAACTGACTGTGTAGACATAGCTTACGTCCACTAGTGTAACAGAACTTGTTAGGAATCTTGTTTATTGATATCTGTCCTAGATAGTATAAATATCTTAATGATCAGGACTTGTTTTTGAATAAGTCATAATAACACATTATTTTATTTTTTTTCCACAGAATGTAACATGTCATTGTGCGAGGCTATTATTCCAACATGCAAAACCAATGAAAAAATGGTTGTTGGCTACCATGCCCTATCCTGCTGTCCACAGTACCGATGTGGTAAGGGAAATAAAAAAGCACTAGTGAGGGATCATTTTCCTTACCTATATTATCTGTTTTAAGCAAGCCAGCCTTAGAATTTGTTGTTGCTGTTGACAGAATGGAACACTATAAATGGCACCAGACAGTGTTACGTCCTTCTCACATTCTCCAATAATTTTTGTATTTGTGATTCATGTCATTTTGATTTACAACCAATTTTAAGGTTTTTTTTTGACTAAGAAGAATAACTTTTTTTTTTGGTATGAGTTCTGTGACTCTTTTTGAAAATAATGATTATTTGATATCTTGCAGAATGTGATCCTTCAGTTTGTTTCAATGCTTCACAGCTGGAGTGCAGAGAAGATCAATTTATTGTTCAAGCAAAACAGGAAGATCCCTGTTGTTTCTCTTACCTCTGCGGTAAGAAGCCTTTAATGTTTTTGTGGGTAACTGAGGAATCGTCAGGTGTTTATAAAACTAATCTACAGTTGTAAAGATCATGCCTTTACCCCAAAATTCTTGGAGCTGGGACTACAAATGGGTCAGGCTCTCTAGTGCATGAGTTTTCCTGTTTTTTTGGAATCTTTTACTTCCAGCATAATAGAACATGTTATTTGAACTGGAAAATAAAACTTGTTAGCAGACATTGCTGTTTATCCTTGCTTTATCCTATATGATCAATGCTGTCAGTGTGCTGTATCGTGGATTGCAGCTCGTTTTTGGCTGCTATCAACAAGCTATCTGTTTTTCAGTGCAAGTCCTGACCCCTACATGCTTTACAATGCACTGCTGCTTTATATATGTTTTTATATTTGAGTGCAAGTCCATTAAAGCTCTCCTATCCAGGCCTAAAATAAAACCTGTATCATGTAGGACTCAAATGTGCTAATTTTCTACTATCTAGAACTTTGCAAATGTCTGACTCTTTTTAATTTAGTTTGTGAATCCTGTATTGAGCCTGTGCCCTTGTGTAATGAAGGAGAAATTCTCACTGTTGACCTTAGCACCATACATTACTGTTGTCCTCGGTACTACTGTGGTGAGTGTAACTGCAATCAGTTCACTATGTAACTATTATTAGCTCTGTATGTTATGAATATAATAAAAATAATAACTTAATCTAGAGCTGAATCCCATCCTTGGTGTGGAGATATGAAATTGTCCATACATATATGTCTGTACATTAAAAATATCTCTAATGAAATGTACAGTTTGTATACTGTCATACCTCTCTGGCTCCATTCATGAGTGTTTGAGCACTTTCATAGTATTGTTAACTTCTAGGGGAAGGACTAGACTAGGGCTTTCAAATGCTATAGGTATGGCTGCTATTCAAACAGCAGGTAACCAGAAAGAGGTATTTGCACTGTGATGAAGTCACTTTTCTGTTGCTGGTGTTATGAAAGTGTGCTCTGTGTTTTTGAGTCATGTCTACAAACATAACTGCTTAAGAAACACTATTTTCCCGACACAGATTGTTGGAAAAATAATTATTTAGAATATTTTATCAAGGGAAATACAAACTGAAAATTTCAAAGGAAATTTGTCTGAGTAAATTTTGATATTTATCTTTTCTCCTCATGTAGTCTGTGATGAAAACCTTTGTTCTGAACCTCCTGTGAACTGCATGGGTGACATGACACTTGTGAAGGAAAATATACCTGGGCAGTGTTGTCCAGAATGGCATTGTGGTAATTATTATTTTATTCTTTATTGCTGCTGTTAATACAAACTAAAATTAGTTAATTGACTAACAAGTTTTTGCTGTTGTTCTCAGAATGTAGCTGTGAAAACACTACTTTGCTGGCTTGTAAATTGGTAAGAACATTCCTTTAGATATTTCTATTAATAGCACTCAGTATTTACACCTCCCTTTCCATTCGTTGTTTTGTTTAGTTATAAAGGGGAACAAGACTGAGCAAGGATTGGCTGCAACATTCTCTTGAAGTAATTTCACTCTGTATGTTTTAAGACAACAAAAGAAGAGAAATACTATAATACTGTTTTGTTCACTGTTCACAAGAACCAACATACTGGAAATTTCTCCATTTAAATAACTCTTACTTTGAATATTTAAGGAGGGTGAGCTTTATTATCATTTGTATCATCTGGAGAACTGTTTTAATTTGTTAATCTTTTAAGCTTCCTATTAAAAAGATTTAGCATTATTGGACTTAAAAGATGAAGCCATTAATATTTTCTCCTCACATATTCTCTCATGTTTTAAAAATAGGGACTGTGATGTGAAAAATCATTAAGAATGAATGTTCAAATTCCTATTATTACCACAATGAAAAGAGTTTCCTCTCTATTAAAAACCTGTGCTTTGCCCTTCTCTTCTCATATGAAGATGTAATACATGAAGTGCAAACAGAAGTTGAAAATTTGAATAATTTTTGAAAGATGTCTTGTAGAAAGCAGTATTTTACCAATACAATTATTATTGAAAAAAAATCATATGTTTGTAGAAAACTACTGTTTAGCCACTCTGCTCTTTATATTCATTCCTAGATAAAATGAAATACTTGCTCATGTTTAGAGACAAATACACTGAATAACTTTGAACCTGTTAGTGTTTCTTGAATGCACTGCAATTTTTCTCTTTTATGAAAGTGGAGGTGGAAGTGATAAACACAGTATTGTGCATTCTCTAGGTAAGCATTGCACTTAGTCATGCATGATTTTAAAAACTCTTTTATCTTCTCATCTTCAGGGAGAAGTTCAAAAAATTGATAGTAGTGTTTCCAGTGCTTGTGGATGCACTCACTACATTTGTGGTAACCTTCATATTAATATTTTGTTTGTTTTTTATTTAGAAATAAAGACATGCAAAATCACAGAAGTAGGGCCGTAATCACCTTCTCAAATATAAACATGCTTTTTTTCCTGATTTTATGGCTACTTAGCGGCAATTATGCTCTTTCCTGAATGCAGTCCTGGGTCATAGGAGCATGTTATGACTGCCCTTGCTTTCAGAGTCAGGTGCTGCCATATCTCCAGTAAAAGGCTAGAGATATGAAGCAGGCTCTGAAACCTAGTGTGAGTGTTTGTAGTCCACTAGAGGTGGTAAGGAGAGAATACCAAACAACAGAAAAGCAAACTCTGTATCTGTCTGTCGTGACTGTGCAGCTTTAAGGTTAGATCTCTCTGCTCCCTTTCTTTACTCTCTTCCTCTGCAAAGTCTATATTTCAGCCTAGCTGCACACTGAAGTGCTTGAGGCACAACTACAGTGCAAGTATCCTAATGTCCCCAAATTAAATATAGGAATAATATTTCAATTGGCAGAAAAGCTGCCCTTTTTGGAGTGGCCATGAAATAAATACTGTTAAAAAACGTTTTTTTTTTTTAATAAGAAATAAAAAAATCACCAGAAATACCAGAAAAGTTATCAATTTTAACCAGTCATGTGTTTTGTAGCATTTTCTTAGGGTAAATTATATCCCTCCCTCCCACCATCTATAGGACAATTTAAAACACTAATCCAGTATAAAGACTGGAAGACTTTCCCAGGGCATAGGACCCTGCTTTTTTTTTTTTTTTTTCCTCTTCTCCCTATAGTGATTCTGCTAGCTTCCTTTACGAAAAAAAAACTTCCTTGGTGACACTTTTTTTTTTTTTTTTTTTTCTTTCGGTGCTAGAAAAGGATGATGTGTGCATTTTCCAAGACGTCACTGTCCTGAGTCCGGGGCAATCAGTGGTTCAGTATTTAGATGGAGACCTTTGTTACACTGTACAGTGCTTACCAGAGAAAGATCCGAACACAGGATACAACGCCATGCGTTTTACAATGGTCAACTGTTCTCAGCAGTGTGAAACTGTGAGTATTCCTAAAATACAGGAATGCTCACACACCGCAAGTGAGATAAAAATTTGTGTGAAGTTTTCTGCCAGTCCAGTTTGTTTAGCAACAATTTGAGAACTCAAAGGTGATGACACATGTATTCTGTCTTCAACCTTATTTTAAGATACATGATTTCTAGTAACATATGTGAACATATTGAAACTAGTTTTTATATCTCAGATAACAGTCAGGGGGCAGAAAATACAGTGGCATGTTCTGCACTGAGGATACTGCTGTTGGCCTCAATGGTGTCTGGTTATTACTGATGTCTATGATGCTTTGTTTCCACTGGGATTTCAGAGTAATTAGGATGATGTCCTAATATAAAAATTTAGGTTCCTTCAGACTAAGCAGTCCTGAAAATTGTCAACTGAAGAGTTGTCAGGGCTTAAGGTGGGCTTTAGATTTTTAAAGTCTAAAATTAGTGAGCCTTACTTGGATTTATCCCTTAATTATGTATATACATGTATGTATAAGCAAGCACACTTACTTTGATGCATATGTCATTTCTCATAACATTTTTTTTGTTTCAAAAATCAGTGGACTTTCATTTATTGTATCTTTTTAAAAATGATAAAATGATATTTGATAAAAAAAGTTTTGTTTTTGTTTTCTTACTAGCATCAAATATATGTTCCTTCATCCAGTCACCATACTTGCTGTGGTACCTGCCAGAATGTGTCCTGTTCTGTTCATTCAGAGAATGGAACATTAGTTGTGCATGAAGTAAGTGCCTCTGCACTGAGATAGAAAATAACTGTAATGATACAATAGAGTGGTGTAACAGTCTTTATTTAGTTGACTTACAGTAATATGAATCTTGCTTCATGTCTTCTTACTGCTGGCAACACAGTTCCAGGATATATAACTGGTATAACTGGAAAAATACACGGTTCTTTATAGGACCGCTGTTTCACAGTAAGTGAATACCTTATTTCACGTTATTGGTTATAGTGTATTTCATAGATATGTGGCCCTATATTAGATACAGATATGTGTATCTGTATTCCATAGATATATTTCAAGATATGTGGCTGCCATCACTTACCTAAGGTTGGATGTACTGTAGGAGCAGGACCACATGCTTAGAATTAGAGAAGCTGCAAAAACTTTAATATTTCTGCGTATTGGGATTCCTACATCTCGCTCTCCTACTCTGGTTTCTACAGAAGGGAAGGGAAGGTTTGGGACCCTGAGTGTGAATTCCCACAGCTACATCTAGGAATTTAGAAGGCACTGTCACTTGGTTCATGCTAGCTATTGTATTCAGGGAAAAATACCTGAATAGCACAGTGTGCTGAGCAATGCGCTGGACAGTGGATCCTTGGCTCTATGGAGAGGTAGATGGTTGGGCAAGAAAGGCCCTTCCCTTTGCTGAGTGTGGCAGTGGGCAAGAGCGTCTCCACTCACTTCAGTAGATACTACAACATAACAGAATGACGTTTACATACCTGCAGGGCTTTGACAAATAAGTGAATGTTTTGTCTTTCCTGACAATTTCCTGAATTCTGTTTGTACATTCAGGAAGGAAGCACCTGGAGCTCCAACTGCACAAACTACAAGTGTGCAAAGACCGCAGCAGGGGCTATGATACTGGGGTCCAGTGTTATCTGCCCCCCTTTTAATGACACTGAATGTACAAAGGTTTGTACTTTGGATGAGGTGAGTAACAATACCTGATCTACCCGAATGGAGTTTGGCCTGCATGAGGAAACACACGTACCTCACAATTTTGCCTTAAATTAAAAAAAAGAAAGAAAGGTGGTAAGTAGAAACATGAAGCAAGCAATTTACAGTCTTGTTTTCAGTTTTTTTTTAAAGACTTTTTGACTAACAAAATATCTATGAAGAGTATGGAAGTTTCTTTTTGGAATTGTGCTTCAGATTCCTCTATATCAAGCGCTAATCATTATATATCTTACTTCAGTTCTGAGTAATTACTATGCCAAGTTTGTAGTGCACACACTTCAAATAAATTGGATGAAGCAGTTCAGAACTGTTGCTTATAAATGTGAGCTATATTAAAAGTTCCTTTAATTATGAAAGGAATAGGATGACAAGAGTGCATATAAATGTTATTATCTCTTAAAGTAAACTTGCACGGACTTAGCAAAACGTATCTGTCATACATGAACTGGTATCTGCCAACACCATAGGCTAGTTCCAAGAATGTGGGAAGAAATATGCAGTAAACCATATTCATTGCATGAATTCATTGCATATTTCTTTATAGTATACCATATAGTACATTGTATTTATATTATAAGCTATAAATAATAACAAATGTATAGAGAGGGTAACATCTCTATCTTGACTGCCAATTATACATTCAGCAGAAGTCCTGTATATTTGTTACATATGCTTAAAAAATCTCTATTTCTTCCCTAAAGAAGACTATCCAAATTCATCTATCTGAAATTAATGCCTGTTCTACTTTGACTTTATTCTTAATTTTTTCCCTTGGAATCGTCTCATCAATCTTTATTAGAATCTTGACTTAATAACAGTGGTCAAGATTTTCAAGAATGGAACTCTAAAATTATTTCCCTGGGTCTGCCTGACCTACTTTTAAGAGATGCCAGGTGTAGATCTGAGCTGGTAGCTAACGAGAAACCTCTTTGAAGTCAGTTGAGGATCTTTGCAGAGCAAATGTGTATTGAAGAGGCTGAGTTTAAGTGTTCTTTTAAAAACTCTTGAACAGCTTATTCAGTTTTTTTCTTTTTTCTCTGCAATGAGGTAAAAATGCATGCTAGCTCAATAGGATGGAAGTCTGAAAATTGTGTTTTGTCTGTTTGTATTTGGTGACCTGCTTGATGTGTAGGTCTGGGTTTTCACTAAAAATGTGGATGCATTTCTTGCTTGCCCTCATTCCGTTTTGCTTGATGTCTCTCACTTGCACTTTTTTAATTTGAAAAGGACATTTTCTTCATTTTGATTTATTGTTGCCTCCTTGGCTAAGAGCAGCTTTAGAAGAAAGCAATAAAAAGTTTATTTTTATTTCAGAAAAAGAAGAGTACATCAGGAGATCTGAAATTCTGCAGTTAATATTTCCTTTACAAATGTATCTATGTATAATGTTGTAAAAAGTGACCTATAAGTTACTAGTTATCTGCTTGGCATGTGATCAGTATAAATCCTTCTACGTCACTGGCCAAAGCACATACATGAAAAAATTAAAATATCCTAACAAATGTCAGTGATAAGGAAATAGATGGTAGCAGATGGTATAAAAAGATGCTTAGAGAAACTAAGTGGCTGATTCAAAAGAATCTAGATCAGATAAACAATAACAAGTGCATTTTTCAGTGCAAAATCTTTAAAGGGTTTTTGAAGCAAACCATCAGCTGATACACATCTGCTTAATACTTTTGATTTCAACAATATTAATTTTTACTAGCTGGACATCTTTTAATTTGAAATATCTTGAAAGAGAATTCATCCTTGCATTGAACACAGTCTTTTTTGATATATTCTTTTTTGTTTTCCTAGAATGGAGGAACTGTGCAGACGTATAATGATGGCTGCTGCAAGACCTGTAAGTGAAGAAGGCTGCAATATGTGCTAGTTTGGCTTTGGTTTTGGAAGTCTGTGTTTTTTAACCTCAAATGCTGGGACATAAAGAAGGAAACAGCATGCAGTTCCCCTGCCCCTCAACAATCAGAGTTGTTATAGTTACTTAACTACTACTTATTTAAAGATGTTGCTTTATTTGGCTGCTGACTGGTGATTTTTAACATTATCCTTCTGGAGTATAACCAGATCTCTCCAAATCTCCTGAGGAACATGAAAAGCTGTCTCAATTTAAATAATGAAAAGATTGTCTTTATTTCTAAGCTGACTCTAAAATGTTGCCTATATAATTTTACCATAAAAGCTACGGATTTTTCCCCCTAAAATTGGTTTCTAATTTGATAATATTTTGAAACAAGTCTATAAACTTATCTGTTCCATTCTTGTATATTTTCTAGGGTCAGATTATGAGAATTATTATTTTTTTAATTGAAAATCAATTCTTTCCACATCAGAAAACATATTTACACTCGAAATGAGGAAAAAATTATTCAAAGTTAAATTATATTGATGGTAACAACCCTTACATAAAATTGACTTTTATTATTTTTGAATGCCTTCCCATTTTCTGAATGTTTATATAAAGGTCTAATTATTTATGCAGTTTTAAAAGCAGACTGAGAATAGAATCTGATTTTCTCTGCAGTGTTGAATAGGAAAGATTTTATTATCAGGTTATTTAATTACAGATTATTATCTATAATAGAATATATATTATTTTAGTAATTAAAATTCAATTTATTACTATATACTATGTATATTATAATATTACATAAAAAGAAAACACCAAACCGTAAAAGTAATTATGTAGGGATTTTTGAATACCAAAAAAAATGCTTCTTGCTTTATCAGCCTTTTTTGTGCTCAACATGAGAGTTAAAATGTACAAACAAATTAGACTTTATTTTTTTTTGACAAACCTCTCATTAATAATATTGAATAGAATGTCATAGACATATAAATATATATTGCACAGTAATTTATAGGATCAAAAAGTGCAAGGTATTAGCTACATATGTGAATTTCTGTTGTAAATAATTTCGCTAATGGGGGGAAATATCCATACTTACCAAATACAGAACAATACCTTCCAAATTATGTGGGTTTTGAAAGCAAAAGTATTTTGGTTCTATTGTATGCAAATCATAGAAAAAATAGGTAGTTAAATAGAACAGAATACTTAAAAAAATAGAATGATCAGGGAAAAATATCACCAGAATTGTACTAAAATATTTTAATCAATATTCTTAATCTAAATAGCTAAATATTTTTGAAAATATTTAACCAACCACAAAAAAAATAGCTTGGCTTTATTTAGAAAATTAACCTAAGAATTAATGATTTTCTGTTGACCAGGAAGATTCATATTCTGGCCATGTTCTGTGGCCTCAGGAAAGGCATTGTTATACTTCAGAAATACGTGCTGAGGTGGCTGCTAAGAGAAAAAAATACAATTTATGATTTTATTTTTCTTTGTATTTTTATTTTATTTTTAACTAAAAGCATGTGCCCTGTGGTGAAGCAGTTAAAAAGACTACTTATCAATAGAGCTTGCAGCACCTTGGGGTTTTAATGGGAACAAGTAATATTCTGAAAGAGCTTGATTCAATGCATGCAAAGTGAGTGCATATATTTAATTCTTACCTTGCCATAGAGTGACTCATTGCAAAAGTTTGATTTACAAGGAAACATCATTGCAGTTTTGCGTTAACCAGGAGAGTAATAAAGTTTAGGTCATCTTTAGTGAGACTTGAAGCAGTTGCAGAAGAGTTTCTAAATTTGGAAGAGTAACAGGAAGTTTCTCACCTTTTGCTAAAAGAAAAATGGCAGTTGGCAGTGTAAGAATTAATGAAATGCCATTTATATAAAAAATGTTTGTGTTTCATGAGAAACTTATATTCCTAATAATTCTGCCAGGTTCTGGATTGGGTGTATTACCCTTTGCCATTAGCCCAGTAGTGACTACTGATAGTATTAATTGTGAACCAGGTATTATTTTTAATAATATATTTTCTTATTTTTTAAATAATGGTGTAAGCACTGCTTGTATATATGCTTATAGCTGTCACTACCATTAAATGTTGCCATATAGTTAACGGTATTGGTCTTGATATGGAGAGATGCTGATTCCCTGTTAGCCTCCCAAATCAGCAGTTTCCTAAAGCGTGGGTAGAGCTCACGGCTCGGCACCTGTCAGAGTTGCGTTCATACGTTTATGGTATATGCTACTCACAGTTCTTCCTCCCTCTCTTCATTTCTAAAATCATTTTTTATACATGAATTTACTGTGCATGGTCGTTATCATAGGAAATACTGTTGCTTTTACAAGTATCATCATCCTGAATTGCTGTTAATAAGAGGTTCTACACCAGATCCTGTCTCTGAATTTAAAGGCTGAGCTTTCTTTGTCTTTAAATAGAGCATCTCATCTTTGCAGATATGGATTTATGTCGTATTTCTTCTGTGTCACAAATGATATGTTCTACAAAGTTAGCAAAATGTGGGGAGGAGAGAGGGAGAAAATATAACCTCAAAATACAGCCATATGTTAATATATATTCTTTACACCTGTAATTAAGGAATGTTATAGAACCATTGCATTATGAACATAAATCTTTGCTTTTAGTGACATACAACTTTACAGAAAATTCAATTCCTTACTTAAGTAAAGAGCAAATAAAGCTAGCATACCTGATACTGAATGCAGATCTTTCAGACAGTTGAAAGTAGGAGGGCTAAAAGTATATCAGCAGACATCTTATTATCAGACATCACCATTTTATGACACTGAATTGTCATGTATTTATGTATATGTGGCTTATAAAATACAGATGGTTTTTTAGCTGTACTCTGGAGTCAAACCAACTTTCAGATATCCAATAGAGCCTGGATTGCAGAATATACTGCAATTACTCACAGCTCACCAGTCTTGTTAAGAGTGCTTACCACACATGTGGGAAGGAAACGTACACCCGACCATGCAGGCATGTGCGAAAGAGAAGAAAAACTCAGCTGAATAGTGCTTATTATTTCATATGCTAACAAACCCAATAGCTGATTTTGATCAATAGAGGAACTGTAGATCTAAATCTACTACACAAATAGTCATAACTGAAAGTCTGGTATGGAGTGCAGCATGGAAGATTTTACATTTAATTGTTTCAGAGTTGTACTGTGATTTTTATTATGCACTGGATAGCTTTATTTCTCAAACACTGAAATAGATATATATGTATATCTCCCAGAATGTATGGGAAAATGCAGTATTTCCATAATCTCCAATGCCTTTGTGCTGACTCAGTGCTACATGCTTCAGTTCTGGGTGGTAAAAGCTGCACCATACTTGGGAAATATCTGCATCTCCCTCTTTCAAAGATTCCTTGAAGCTATTCTTTCTCAGGAAGACAGCAAAACCTATATAATTCTATCTAAATGTTAAGAATCAGAATAATGTCAAGGTTGCAGTCACACTCAGCTTGCAATCACAACTTGTCGTATGTCATATTTTGGAAATATTCTAAAATGCAGGATCAAAATTGTGTTTATTTTCAGTATTCCTATTAAATAAGCAGAATACCTTTCAGTCAACCCTTCTCATATATCCAGTCTTCCTATTAATACTAAAAGCCAAATTTTTCTGTAATTGTTTTTTTTATGTAAATCTTGAGATATGTGTATTACTATTTTTGTATAAACTAGCTTTAATGGGGCTTTATATCTCAGTTGTTCTTATATGTCAGCTATAAAATCTGTAAGTTTTGAAAAGTATTCATTAATGAGAGTTTTCTTTTTAAAAAAGGTCATATTATAGAAGCAATGGCTTCAGGTTTTACATTAATGAGAATTGTATACAATTATTAAAATTATTTTAATAGCCTTCAATTCTTAATAATAAACACAACTTAGAAAGTACATTCATTCAATATATATTTTCTGTATTTTATTAGGTAAAAAGGAAGATAGAATTTGCCAGAAAATGACAATCAGAACAACCATAAGAAAAAGTGACTGTATAAGTCAAAGCCCGGTAAGCACAAAACAAATGGTATTTCATGCTGTGCCTGCAGCATTCCAAATCAAGTGTTAAAAAGTGAACTAAAGCCATCAATAAGCAATAAAAAATGCTACCTTCACAAAAGCAGACCTTTCACAACATTCTGGGAATGTTATCCTACTTGTAGATGGAATAAAATTAACTGGTTTGGCTCATATATGGCTGAAGGGCAGAGCCCTCCTACCTGGAAAAACATCTGGCTCCAAATGAAAAGTACACAGTGTAATTGCTTATTATTGAAAAAGGAGCTGAACTCATCACCGTGAAATAACAAAAAAACAAAACAAAAAAAAAAGGAGTGTAAATATTTCCACTTAAGTTGTGATGGAAACATAGTTACCTTCCTTCTTAAAGACCTTAAAGTGTTATAAATTCACCATCTCCCTTATTTATGGTTCCATTTAAGTCATCTTATTTCTCAGCTTTGCTGTAGTCCTGTCTATAACACCTCGGATATATCTCCAGAATGTGTTTCTCATCTAGTACTTAAAGGAAAAGGATTTGACTCAAAATATTGAGACTTCGAGAAGTCTTCTGAGAAGTTTTTGTTGAAGAAACTAAATAGTCATAAAGAAAGAGGAGAGAGATGTATCCTCAGGTGCTAATGCACTTTACCCTTTCCCTCTCCAACTTTCAAGGAGAAGGGGTGACTTTCCCTCATTTTGTTTAGAATACTGTTGCTTTTCAGCAGTGAACATGAAAAGATTGTGTTTTTAGCTTTGTTAAAAGTTAAAACTTTGTAATACCAAGTGTTTTTTTGTTTTCTTGTTTTTTTTTGTATCCACAGCACAGAGTTTTGTTTAAGGTTAAAGTAGAGTACATGACTAATCAATACTCTTCTGTTTAAATAAACTTCATTAGAAATCTGGCTACACTTAGTACAAATGAATTATAAAGAGTCCTTCCCAAATGTTAAAATGGATTCTCATTCCAAAGAACTTTGGAATATTGTATCTTGAAAACAAAACCTGAAATGTCTAACTCGAGTTCTTCTTTTACTAACAGGTAAATGTGGCGTCTTGTGATGGAAAATGCCCGTCTGCAACGATTTTTAATGTTAATATTGACAGCCACTTAAGATTCTGTAAATGTTGTCGAGAAACTGGGACACGTAATCTGACTGTGCCTCTATACTGCTCAGGAAATGGCACTGAAATCATGTATGTCATTCAAGAGCCTATAGACTGCTCGTGCCAGTGGAACTGAATGCTGCTGGGTGTACAATTTTGTCTGAAGAATGAAAATGAGTTGCCTTTCACCAAACTGTATGTTTTGTCCTTGGATGGATAGAGTCTCATCAATTATATTCATAATATAACCTTTCATGAATTTAGTAGAGGCTTTTTGTTCTACAAATTTCCTTTTAAAATATTGACATATATAGAAAGAACTACATAAATCTTTTTGAACCAGATATAATTTAGTCAAAATCCATTTATATCCATTTTCAGATGTGCTGCTGAAAGCTGGTTAATGTGTTTCCATGCTTTTAAATTTTGGATTATGGCTACCTGTCCAAATTCAGAAATTCTCAGCAGTTCTTTTACTTAGGAACTTTCAGTTGAAGACCTTTGGAATTAATGCTTATGAGAAAGATTTATATTGTGTTTTTGAGAACAATCCTAACTCTTTTTTTTTTTTAATAAATGAATTCAACTGAAACATTTTTATCTTGCTGAAAAGCCTATCTTTTGATGTAAGATATTGTCAGACTGGAGTCTGCTTAAACTGGAAGTCACTGTGAAACGTGATTGCAGTTTGTAAATACCTTGAGCAAATTTTCAGAGTATAAAGTAAAATAATAATAACGTTTTTAAACCTTTGATATTTACTTAATTTTGTTATTTATGTTATAAGTACAAAGCATTGTTAGGCTGAAGAGTTCAGGCTTCTGTGCCTTCATTACAAATATCTAATAGCTTTGTCTGTTACGAAGGGTTCTATTTTATATACATTTTGAAGTTTTTACAAGTAAGAAATTGGCTATTAGCTGTAGAGTAAGACTCTAACAACTATGCATGCATTTATTACCAAAACAAGGGAGTGCACATTTAACTATTCATAGTGGGTTTTTACCCTTTGCTTAATAGTTTGATTTTTTTTTGTTGTTAAACATATTTTAATTAAATACATTTTTTGAATATTGAGATTTGGAATCATTTCATTGGACATTTCTAGGACTCATTATTTTTGAGTCCACAAAAAAAAATCTAATTAAGATATATATTTTGAAGGGTATAGGTGAGCTAGGCATGTAGAATCAGGCTGTGAATACCCATGATTCAGCATTCTAAGTTGAATATGCTCTCCCTTATACCACATAATCATACCACATAATATTATCTATTTACAAGCTCACTGATTGTAACCTAGTTTAAATAAAGACAGTGGGACCTCACTGGGACCAGTATTTTCCTTGTTGTAAGTTATTTTCAAATTAAAATTCTTGTTTAAAATTCTGAGAACTTCTTGGCAAAGCTTTTTTTTCAAGCTGTTATCATTTAGTTACAAAGATGAATATAATATAAGATGAAAATAATTTTAAAACTACGGCTATTTCCTTCTGAATCTTTAAACTTTCTGTATATTCGTTTTGATAGATTGTGAAGAAAACGTTGAAATCTGTCTTTACTAACAAGACTCTGTCATCTATTCATTGCATCCATAAAAAACACTGATTTGGTTTAACAATTAAAGACAATCTGTTGTATTATCAGTAAAATATTTAACTGTTATAAAGAAATAGTGATGACCTAGAGATGAAGGGCTGTTTTGATAAAGTGTCTCATTTGCACACTGTTATAGTTTGTGTGGCAGATATTCCAAGGAATTATATATTAGAGCCTAGAACAAAAATATTCTGTGATATTGCTGAAGGGATTTGTGTATAGAAATTTTTATACAATCCAAGTATGGAAATTTAATTATATTCATAGCCATAAAGTTTGTGTATTAGTATAGCAAAAGAAAAGGACCACTATTCAAATTAAAATAGATCCTTGGGACCTTTTATTTTATAAGAACATAGATAATAATCCTATATTTATATCAAGAGAGTATGGGACAAAATTTCTTAATGAGTTTTGCATGTGAGAAATTTCAGAAAGATCCTACAAGCTAGCATTTGTATATACAGTGACAGAAGACTTGATGAGTTTTAGCTGAATGCAATGCTTACTGTAAACAAAGTGGTTTTGTAAGATTTAGAGATGTATTTGTAAATAAAGAGAAATTAATAAATGTTATTTTGAAGAATCATTATGTATGCTGACATAACAATGTTGATGTACTTAATTTACCTATGCCAGTGAGCATGAACTCTAATGCAGGATCTTAAACTACCCTGGAATTATGAGCATATAAACTTCAGATTAGTTCCATGGTAATATGTACAAGGAAAAAGAAATCTATTAAAATATTTTGCCCTGTTACAGCATTTGGTTTAAATTCAACAGTCAATGGGAACAGGGTCAGGATCCTCCCTAAAGCCTACAACAAAATGCTGTATTTTCAGTGGAGTGAAACTGATCTAAGACTGTCTGTCATTTAATTTTTTCAAATTCTGACTTATTTGGCTTGGTCAGAAAGTGAGCATCCAATAAGCCTTGTGGATCATTTTCTGGGCAGTCATTGACCCTCTACCTTGATGAAGATAAAATTGGCATAATGTGGCATATTTTATGTGAACTAGCTCTTGCAAGCCTTGGAGCAGGTACAAGTGAGCCTGCAGTGTGGCAAGAATTTTCTGCTCTAAATCTTTACTCAGTCTATAATTTATATAGATGTTATTCCACAGTTACACCTGCGGCACAGATGCCCCAATCCTCTGCCCTGGCGTTACACATAACCTGCACAGGCATCTCATGAGCTGCTTTTGGAAGCTGAACCAACTCAACTTAGTAAAGCACCAAAAATTAATTAGTTTAGTATTGACTAACAGACCGTTACTGCATGCGAGGTTTCCTCCCTTTTATCAAATCATTTCTACTCCATACCTAGGAATGCAGGCCTTTCTGTAACTCCCACACTTCCAGCAGAACAGCAGATGACCCAAGGAGCCCTGGTTAGTTGTGTCCTTTGCCTCATTCATAATTTATTGCACCTGTCCTTCATTCCTAAATTTGCTGTCCTGTTCTCCTGGTCGTGCTTGCAAATGGAATTTCCTGAATTAAAGGCTTACCAATAAGACTATGTAGTTTATTATTTTTAGGGATTTAGGTAAATATATTTCAAGACTTGGAATTAGATTGCAAGTGAATATGCCTCTGCTGGATAGTAAGGCTTTGCCCATATTATTTATATTATTTATAATAATATAATTATAATATATTAATAATATTATTTACAATATTAGTCTTTTATAATTCCATTGCCTTACCAGGCCACTTGTAGTTAAGACCCATTTTTTGCTTAGTTAGACTCCATATATTTGCATGATTGATTGCCTTTCTGCAGGCAGGGAACTTCCCAGATCCATGTCTCTGTAACAGTGGTGACAGAGTGGTGAAAAAGTTGGATCCACTGAGGCGCTTTGTTGCCAGTTTCTTTGGAGAGCAGGATGAGGCATGAAAGATTTTGTTTAAATATAGTTAAAAGAATATGACTATAAACTATATAAGAATATAGATAGAAGAATATGCTCCAGTGTGACACAAAGTGCCCTGTTCATCATGTGCGGCAGTGCTGCTCCTGGTGTGACTCTTTTTTTTAATATATATATTTTTCCAGTAAGAATTTAAAGGACAACACCCATTTCTAAATGCAGAGGTTAGTCTTTATGCAAAAATTTACTGCCAAATAAATTTAGCCAATAAATTTAGAGTTGTGACATTTATGACAATAGCAGTATAGCCAACACAGAGGGGCGACATGAAATCTAGGAAATGAACAGAAATTTTTAAATGTGGAGTGGGAAGTTGGTACTATTTTCTCTAGCTTAGGTTGGGTTTCATAATCCTGACCATTCTGGAGAATATATTTTCAAAAAATATTCAAGTGAAAGATTCTTTAGAGTCACATATCTCATCACTTAGTATGAATGCAGGAGGAAAAAAAAGGCTTTTATTGACCAAAGATTATGAGGGAAAGGGATTGTACCTAATACTGGGTAATGAGTTTTCTATTATTCTCTCTCTAAAGGCAAGGTGGAATGTACAAGGAAACTGGAAATGTTATTGTCTACCCATTCTCATTAACAAGTTGCCATGATTTAGGGGAGATTTGAAGAAAAATGAACTCCAGCAACTGCAAATATGATTCATTTACTAATGCTTTGCAGCTATATACTGACATTTGGGGAATGCTTTTTCTTAGCCCATTTTCAAAAATAATTCAAATATAGACCATTGAGGTTGTCATGTGTCTACCAAAATCAGTGGTAAAACATTCCTTAAGACTGGAGGGAAGAGAATGTTACTCAGAGGAGCTGCTTCCACAGGCAGGGTTTAGATGGAGAAAGGAGGGAATTGAGAGCTTCTTTTCTACTGGTTTTGGATTCTGGGGGAAACCAGGAGTGAATGGTGGTAAAACTTAATCATCAGGCATGCTTAATAGAAGGAAAATGGTTGTGTTTTGGAGAATGTTCCTTTGTTTCTATGGCATTTCTTTTTGAAAGTACTTGCACATTTTAAAAGCTCAAAAATTGTAGTTTACTGCTGAGATTCAGCTTGGCTGTTTATCTTAGGTTCCCCAAGGAGCTGAATGAGGATCTTTCCGGTGACTCCACCGCAATGTCTGTTTCTGCCCTAGGACTAATAGGACTAATCTCTATTTTTCTCTCTTTTTTTTTTTTTTTTCGTGTTTTATGGACAGGATGGTGCAGGAAACTTGTGCAACTGCTGTATTCCAAAACCGCTCAGAGTCAGCCTTTTTTTTTTCATGTAAAATTTAGAATTTAAAAATGTCCACTAAGCCTCACTGGTTTAAACGACACAAGGTAGTAATTTATGCTAGTTGCTTTGTTTGTGTTTGTTACTAAGGGTTTTTAATTTATTTGTTTCAGATAGATACACTTTGCAAATCCATTTTGCTTAGATGGAAACTACTCTTTTAAAGTGAGCCAAGAACAGTATTCCAGGGAGCAACTTTTGTTTTGGGAGCATATTTCGTATGGACTTAGGTAAGAAAAGCCTGCAAACATAACTCTACATTTTTTTCTTTTTAGTGTAAAATGTATGCATTAATTAAAAAAAAAAAAAGTCCATACTGAACCCCACTGCTGTAAGGATAACCAGCTTGTTTTGGACACTA